AAAAAAAAAAAAAAAAAAAAGATTCTATGAACCACACTAACAAGTTTCATAATATGACAATTGCCATAAAGCAAAGAAAGATTAAGAGTAGCAGGGTAAGCATGGGGATATATTAGGTTGAGTGCTCAGGGGAAATTTTCTTACACAAATAAGAAAATTTAAGCAGAGATCTCATCGGGCAGCCATACAAAGTCTGGAACAAGAGTATCAATTATTGTGACTAGTAAATGTGGAAATAAATTTGGCATGCTAAAAGGATGGAAAGAAAACCAGTATACATGGAGGAAAACAGGAAAATAAGATGAGAGAGGTACAAGCCCTGAAAAGCACCTATTAGCTCTAAGGGTCAAGATATTAAAATTTCTGAAAGTAGAGTATTGTTGAAAGTCAAGTTACCCACCCCGCCTCCAGACATTTAACTTCCACATTTGAAAAAAGGAAGCTATAAGAAAATTCTTTTCAGTTTAAATGATACTACTAATCCTTTATTCTGACCCTTTAGATCTCAGAATATGAACAAGTTCTTGCTAGGTTCAGTGCTTCCGAAGCATTTCTAAATATTTCATGAATTATTTTAGATCCTTATTTTTTTAAATTACTTCTTGGCCTTCTGAATGTTAACATATTTCCTCGTCATGGCTCCACTACAAACCAATCTCTGACTTACTTCTCTTGAAGATTCCAGCAAAGTATTCAATTCCTGAGCAAAATTCTACTCCACAAGCAGACTCTTGTTCTTCTAATTTACCAAAAAGGTAGGTGTCATGTTACATGTCTGAATGTGGACTACTTGTGTCTGGAAGATGAGTGTTATGTCTACACTTTATTGTGATGCTGGGAAGAGGCCTTTTTGAGGTATGGTGTCATCGCTACTATTTTGTCTATTTGTTTCAGCACCATACAAGAAGCAAAAATGATGAACCAACAGAGCAAACAAAAGTTGAAGATGGAAAACGCAGAAACTTCTTCCTTGAACTTCAGGACTTCTAAAATAAATGCCAAGGAAGAGTTAGTTTTGCATCCTGCTAAATCAAGCCCATCTTTTGACTTTTTGGAGCTAAATTATAGTTGTAACAAAAATGTTGACATAACCAAGAAATGGCAGGCAAAGACATTGTCAACAGTCGGGGAACCTCTTCAGAAGCACAAAAGTTTGGACTTCGGCTCCATTCTGCTGGGGGCATGTCCCAATTCTCAGTCTTTAAATGCAGCAAGTACACGTTTTAATTCAAAGGGGCCAATAACACGAACCAAATCAACTCCTTTTGAATTGATACAGCAGAGTAAAACTGAGGAGTTGGACATCAAGGAAAACTTTTCATGTTTGGAATCTCGACCACACGATTCTTATCTTGTGGAGTTCCAGGCTGAAAAAGTGATGTATGTTTCTGCAGAAGAGCTGAATTATTCATTGCCGTCTGACTCTAACCACCAAATGTGTGATGCCTCTAATGGGCAGCATCATGGCTCCAGTGCTTTGAGTGTATATTCTTGCATGTCTTTAACAGAAGATCCTTATTTTTCATCATTGCTACCAAGTAGTGCTGATTCTAAGATGTCTCTTGATTTACCCGAGAAGCAAGATGGAACTGCTTTTCCTCACTCTTCGTTGCCAGCATCCTCCACGACCTTCTTTTCTTACTACAACTCCAGTGACACTGCAGCATTAAATCCTCTGACCAATTTTTCCTCGCGAATGAACCGACAGACAGCTATAGTGGGTAAGTTCTTTTTTAGAGTTTGTATGACATTTTAGATTTTACTTTGTTTCTATAGAATATTTGATGTCTTGTTAACCTACCCCTCCTCCTCTCTGCTTAATGTCTTTCTTGTTCCTTCATCTCCTCAAAGAAATAAATTCCAGAAGTGTTTTAACGATGTGATAAGTTGAAAACAGCATCAAACATATAATAGTCCATGAAACAGGCAGTTAGACCCAGTACAGGATCTATGCCAATGGGAGGGCTTCTAACAAGGCAAAAATCAATTCTAGAAGTGTTTACCAGAGGCCCAGATAGCTTTTGTTGCAAAAATTTTTTTATCTTACCCTTTAAGAAGTAACTTTCAAAGAAAGGCAGAAAAAAATCTGACCAACAGAACCGCATCCTCATCAAAATTTTTGTAGTACAACTGGGTGTCTATCATGTGTTGAGCATTTTGTTAAACATTAAATTATTTTCCTTTGGGAGGTGGAAGGTGAGAACTTAGTTTCCTGCCCTTTTTTTAGTAGATGAGAATATCTTTTGGGAATTTTGTGTGGAATTTTATCTTATAACACACCTGTACTTTCATACTTTTATAATTGTAGATTTTCTTACATGTTATGTATATTGTTTTGTCTAACTAAATTGCCTGAGAGTAGAAATGAATATCTATTCAGAGATTATTATACTATTTTTTTTGTTTTGTTTTATGGTGCTGGGGATTGAACCCAGGGCCTTATGCATTCTAGGTAAGCCCTCTACCCCTTGAACTACATCCCCGGTCCAGATCATAATAATTTATGTGAAAGAAGGTGAGGGAAAGCGAAGAGCGAGTTCAACTCTCTTAGAAAATTTATAAAGATCATTCTACTTATGTAGGAAGTGAAGACAACTTTTGCTCAATAATATTATTGAATGTTCAGGTTTTGTATGTGGTGGTGGTGTGTGTGTGTGTGTGTGTCCCCAACCCACGTATAAAACTTCTTAACAGATTTATAAATCATCTGTAGCTTTGTTGCAAAAAATTTTACCTGGATTTAGAAATATTTTTATTTGATTAAATTATTTTTACATACTTTGTTATAAACTTTGTTTTATACTTTTAAATACTTTTGTTTATAGGCTTGTTTTACAACAACACTATTCTTAGCCAAAAGGCCAAGAAGCGATGGCTTGTTTTACAACTTAAGGATACTTTCTTTTTCTAGGTCACCATAATACTTTAGACATCTCAAAGTATTAACATAAGTTTTTTTTGAATTCTTATGTTCAGGGATTGTAACAACATTGACACGGGCCATCTGGTGGCAGCTTCTTATAATAGCACTTAAAATTTGTATATGAATTCTGAATGTTTCTATAGAAAACTATGTAAATCTATTGTTTTGTAAAAACAGAAAACATCTATATTCTTGGATTCTGTGTGAAATGAAGAAGAGATGCTAAAGTTTTACCTCCATTGTAACTGAATATTTGGCATATCGAAGTGTCTTCTAGGACTTTATTATGTATTCTATATTCAACAAAAAGGAGTTAAGTAGAAAACAACCCTAATAGTGACTCGATGAAAATTCTTTTGGGCTTTTAAAACAAATGCTATATTTTGAAGAACAAGTAAAAACCTCCCGAGTTTGTACCTAAAGACAAATTTATTCTGATTTTCCCTTGAATGAACACGTACCAGCTAACGTATTATTAATGGTATTTAATAGAATTTAAACACAAATTCAGTAAAATTTATAGTAAGGATTAGATTAGAATAAGGAAGTTCTCTTGGATTGTTCTAACTAAAAATTGTGATTATATTTCTGACATTCTGGATAGCAACGTCTACAAAGATAGATGATGAAGTCCCCCCTCCACTTCCTGAACGAACACCTGAATCTTTCATTGTGGTAGAGGAAGCGGGTGAGTACAATTCAGTAAGTATAAAGTGTGGTATTACTTCTCAGGTCCCCTCAGTGTTGTGTGCGCTACAGATGAGCAACATTTGATCTCTAGAAGAATAACACACCTCCTAAGAATCGGGCCATATTCATTTTCTTCCAGGAGAAGTACCACCAGGTGCACCCAAATCCGTATCTTCACCTGTGAAGTTGAAAATTGGAACATCGCTGGAATGGAGTGGAACATCTGAATCAAAGACATTTGATGACTCTGTGAGACTTAGGCCAAGCAAGGTCAATAACTTTTTTTCTGTCTTCTTGCCTTAGTCACTTTCTTTTTTTTTTTTCCTTTCTTTTTTTGGGGGCGGTACTGGGGATCAAACTCTGGCCCTTGTGCTTGCAAGGCAGGCGGCGAAACCACTGAGCTAAATCCCCAGCCCCACTTTCCTTTTCTTTGGGACAAAATACTTTTGGCATAAAAGACGAAAGGTTTATTTTGGCTCACAGTTTGTAGATTTTTTCAGTCCACAATCAGCTGGCTCCAAGGCACGCAGCATGGCAGAGGAAAACGGGAGGAAGAGCTGCTCACCTCGTGACCAGGAAGCCTAGAGAGAAAGCAGGAACTGGGCAGGCAGATAAACCCTTCCGGGCCATGCCCCAGTGACCCCCAATTCTGATGAGACCCCGACTCCTAACAGCATGTCATTGTCATCCGTAAGCCCCGTAATCTAATCGCCTTCCAAAAGCACTGCCTGCGAGCACATGAGGCTCTGGGTGGCATCTAGATATAAACACCGTAACACTTCTCATGTGGATTCAGCCGAGTATATTTTTATTCCATGAATTTTTAACATCTATCATTCAATAATATTAAGTAGATGTTAACATAAAACAAGATGTAGGGAACGAGAACGATGTATAAGACACAATTCTTGCTCTTAAGAAACTAGTAGTTCAGCCAGGCGTGGTGGCACAAGCCTGTAATCCCAGTATTCAAGAGGCTGAGGCAAGAGAATCATTGTGAGTTCCAGGCCAGCCTAGGCTACAAAGTGAGTTCAAGGCCAGCCTGAACTACATACCAAGACCCTGTCTCAGAAAACCAAAAACCAAATAAACAAACAAACAAACAAATCCAGAATATATAGGATATGTACAGTCTTTATTTTTGTCTTTATACATATTGTTGCATTATAACAAGGCAAATATGATCAATATTATATAAAAAAATAAAGAGATTCAAAGTATTAGAAATCCCTTCATTTTGAAAGGGATCAAGAAGACCTAGTGAATGAGAAAACATTGAGTTCATTCTTAAAGGATAATAAAAGCAAAGTAAATGTTTCATAAGTAGGTAGCTTGTTTATTGTAATAATTTCATAGTCTGTATCATGTTAGCTGTGAAAATATATTACAGTAATTTTTGAAGGACATGCATATTACTTAAAATAACCCTTTAGAATAGTATGTCCCTCTTCTGGAAAAAAAATCTATACTCTAGCAATCTTTTGTGTGTAGTTTTTGAACCAGCTATTTTAAAATATCAGAGATCAAAAACATAACTAACAAACACTTAAAAGTCCCTACAATTCTAATACTGGAGAAAATATTTTCTACTTTTTAAAATTACAATTTTAATGCTAAGTGTGGTCGTACACACCTGTAATCCCAGATATTTGGGAGGCTGAGGCAGAAGGATTTCAAGTTTGAAGCCAGCCTGGGCAACTTAGTGAGACCCTATATCAAAATAAATTAATAAGAGCTGGGGATATAGCTTAGTGGTAGAACATTTGCCTAACACAAGCAAGGCCCTGGTTCAATCCCCAGTACAATAAATAAATAAATAAGTTTAATGTACTAGTAATTGTCATTATTATTGTTAGTAATATGTGTGTATAAATAGTGGTCTTTATCTTAATTCTTAGAGGAAAGAATACTCACTTCTTCCAATGTCATGAAGTAACTATGACTTCAACAATTTACCTCCCAATAAATTTTTAGGAAAATGTTGTAAGTAGAAAAGAAATAAGTTAGAAGGGAATCAATTTAGGACTAATTGCCATGTGATATAAAAATCACTGTAAGAAAGCCGGGCGTGGTGGTGCTGATTACGCCTGTAATCCCAGCACTTGGGAGCCTGAGGCAGGAGGATTGCTGTGAGTTGGAGACCAGCCTGTACTACATAGTGAGTCCCAGGTCAGTCTCAACTACATAGACCCTGTCTCCAAAAAAAAAAAAAAAAAAAAAAAAAAAA